CCAGCTAGGGCATGCCCAATTGATTTTTAGTTAGGATCACAGAATTTTGGAGCTGGTCTAACTATAAGAGTTAGGACTTATTAAGTAGTTTTTCTTATTTAATTCCTTAATACTCCTAAGAGGCAAATATCATTATCTTCATTTTACAGGTGATAAAATTTAAACTTAGAGAGGTTAAATAACTTGCCTACATCCCACAGTCTGTAAGTGGCGGAACAGGATCTGAACTTAGGAAGTTGGAAAAAAGATGCTTTTAACTTCTTATTCTGCCATAGAGCTCATCCAATACCATTTTGTTATGTTTTCTTGCGGGAAGTTGTGGCTCTGGGATATTACATGACATCACATAACTAGCCAGGTCTAGGTTTTTATTTGATTCTTAGCATTTCTGTCTCAACATTCCACTCTCATTTTGTAACTAAGATGACTAAAAGGGTAACTAGTTTGGGTCTACTACTTGTTGAGTAGAGTAACAATGTAAAATCGGTTAACCCTATTTTGTAACTTTAAGAGGTAGAGTGTAAAGTCTAAACCTGTTGTAAACATAGTAAGAGTGGTGTAGTGAGCAGACATGTGCCCGGGGAGGGTCTGGTCCCTCTGGCTCACAGGATGTCATTCCAGAGATAGATGTGTCTCTTCTTCTTATGCAGCCCATCTTAGGAGTCAGAAATGTGGCAGATCTGGTGTTCCGGAGAGGATGTGATACGTTTGTTACTATTCCACTTAGTTTATTGCTGCTTCCCAAATAACCACAAATTTAACACCTTAACATAATTTGTCATTATGTCTTCTAGCTCTGTGGAATGACTCATCTCTGCTGGGTTGGTCTTCCCTGAGGCTTCTTTTGCTACTGCAGTCAGATGACAGGTGGGGCAGGACTCTTCTGAGCCGTTTGACTGGACTGCACATCCAAGAGGGGTCACCCACGTAGCTGACAATTGATGCTTTCCTTTTTCAGGCTGCTTTGATGAAATGCTTTTTTTTTTTTTTTTTTTTTTTTTTTTTTTTTTTTAACAAGTTTCTATTGAGTTTCCAGTCCATTGCTATTACACACCACATTTCAAGGCAGAAACTATGAAATTCACTCTGGGGTAAATTTCACATGTAAAAAATTTATCCTACAACCATCTCTTTCCGTCTGAGAAGTGAACTAGTCTGGAAGAAGCTGGCTTCATCATCAGCCATGACTTTTACAATTTAATTAACCTTACATTTTGTTTCAACAAAACTGTCTCTTGCCGAAACTGGTTTGGCTCAGTGGTAGAGCGTCGGTCTGCGGACTGAAAGGTGCCAGATTCGATTCCGGTCAAGGGCATGTACATTGGTTGAGGGCACATCCCCAGTGGGGGGTGTGCAGGAGGCAACTGGTTGATGTTTCTCTCTCATTGACGTTTCTAGCTCCCTATCTTTCTCCCTTCCTCCTCTCTGTAAAATATCTATAAAGTATATTAAAAAAAAACCAAAAAACTGTCTCTTAAAGCTTCAGGTATAACTTAATGTGTGGTGGCCGGATCGGTCATAGATGTCTATAGATAGCAAGTACCCCTTCATGAATTGGTGGTTGCACCTTACGGGAATTCCCTAAGTGAGTCACTTGTGCTGACTCAGTTATTCATACTGTGAAATGGGGATGTATATGAAGGTGGAGAAATTAAAAAATTGCCTTTGTTGAAGCATACTTGGAGAACTTCTATTTTCGCTCCAAGAAAACTAAAGGAAAGTTTCCCCTGGGAATGGGGTGTCCTCAGTCTTCATCCCTTCTCCCATTCTCATTTTCTCCCCTGTGTTAAGTTTTCTGTGTCTTGGTCAGATGATCCATTGGCCCTCCACTCCCTTAAATTGTCACTAATCTCCCTTCCCTCTGCCCTTTAAGATTTTATTCTTTTCAAACAAAATAATACCAGTGATTTGAGATTTTTTCATCCTGGACTACATTAGAAGGTATCTATATTACATGCTGAGCATTTTAAAAGTAGGAATTTATCAACGTGATGAAAGTAAGCAAGAGGTCAGGTTGAAAATGTAGTTGTCCAGTCCTCAGGCACATTCTATAGGACTTTCAAAAGACAGTTCTAGCTTTCTACATGTTTTTAATTAGAATTACCAGGTTCAATTATCTTTGTTCTATTCTATTATCCCTTCACTACTTCGCAAATGACTGAGTAGCCTTGGCCTTGAGAAGCTCAAAGTACTTAGTTTGCCAAGACATGGGCCACATGTAGTCTTTTCACATCTCTTCAAGGGAGGCAAGACCAGAATGGAGACTACCGGACAAGGAAGAGACCATGACCTGTCCTGGTGATTGGCATATGAAAGCCTTGGGCACAGCTGGGTCTCCTTCAGGCTGGGTGCCAGGTCCTACCCCTTTGGGGAACACATGGCAGAGGTGGGGCATGAGGAAGTTGGAGGCCTATGATGGCTATCCATCTGACTCATCAAACTCAACCCAGTAGCTGTCCTCCTTTATCTTCCAATGTCCAACCCCTTCACCCTCTTAGAACAAAGTTTTAAGCTCATGTCCCTGCAAGGTAGAGCCCCAAGGGGGACCCTGCCATTCTCTGCTACCACAGCTGTCTTCATTATCTGCTTTCCTGCGGCTCCGGCCTGGAGTATAAAAACCACTCACAGTCCATTTCCCATTGTCCTCTCCTGGAATATTCTTTGCCATGCCTCCTCTCTTTCTGCTCATCTTTAGCTGGCTGAGGAGCTCACTGCCTCTAAAGGCACCTTCCCTCTTGCCCCATGGCAGCGGTCGGTGCTCCTCCATGATGCACATTGCACTGGGATTTTCCAGATGTCAGTGGCCTATTGACCAACCCGCTCCCCGACTAGACTGGCAGCTTCTTGGGGACAGGTGGTCCAGGTGACTATACTCCCTCAGCTCTGAGCACAAGACCAGTTACAGGTCAGGCAGTAGTCGGTCAGCTAAGACAAATTAAGCTCTGAGCAGATGAAAAAGAACTGGCGCAGAGGAGGCTAACTGGAAGACCCAGTTCTGGAGTCTTGGGTCTCCTTCAGGTCACTTTGTATATCTTTGTATCTTGCCACCTGTGAACCCACTGCCCATCGGCACTTTCTGAATGTGCACTGACCTGGGCCTGGGCTTGGGGTGTGGGGGTGGGAGGCAGGAATGTGCACAAACACTTGCTGACTCAAGGCACTTTGTTGAGAACACTGGATGAGCTCTGAGGAAACATTTGTGGGTAATGGAACCCTCTGGCATGAGATGGAATAAGATACTGGATGGCGTAAGGGCCAATGTTCCAGCCTCACTTCTCATACAGAGCTGGTTAGAAATGCAGTGTGTAGACCCCATCAGACCTCCTGAATCAGATCCTGCATTTTAGTAAGACACCCAGGGATTTGTGTGCACCTGGGTTTGAGAGGCATTGGTCTTGCGGGTCAGAGAATAGTGTAGGCAAGGGCTGTAGTCGTTAGAGAAGCTACATCAGAGAAGGAACAGTTGAGCTGGGTCTCAGCGGAGGGTAACACCCAGGGTGGATAAAAGGAGGAGGGATTTGGGGCTAGGAAGATTTCGAGCCAGGAAAGATCCAACTTTTCTTGTTAATGATATTGGTCTGAAAATACATTTTTGAAGGCTCATTTATGAGTAGAATTTTGGCTGAACAGTTGGATCATTCCTCTAAAGGATCTGATTTGGTAACTAGGAAACCTTTGATGAATATCTTAGATCTGGTGGTTTTCACCCCCAAAGAATGATCCAGGTGGGCTCCCATAATGATCCAGGTGGACTCTCAGTTTTCTTTCTTAGAAATGGCAAACATACTTGAGAGAATGCTGGAGTGGAAGCCCAGAGTCTAAAATTTAGTTGTGAGTTTGCTGGTAATGAAGCTGTGGGCTCCCAACCAAGTCACTTCCCAAAATTATTATTCTTTTTGTTCATGATTTTGTGCATCAGGAACTAGGCCGTGGCTTAGCTAGGTAGTTCTATTCCTGGCAGCATTGGTTGAGGTCACTCACTCATCTGCTGGCAGCCATGGGTGGACTAGACGGTCCAGTGAGGCTTTTTGTCCATACCTGGTACTTCTGTGCTCCTCCACATGGCCTTCCACTCTCCACATGGCTGTGTGGGCTTCCTCACAGCGTGGTGGTCTTAGATTTCTAATGTGGCAGCTGACTTTCCTAGAGGGAGGATATAGAAGCTGCATGGTTTCTTAATACCTGAACTGACACGTTATTTCTGCATCCAGTTGGTCCAAGGAGAGTCTCCATCTCTTGATGGATACAGCAGCATGTAGGAATAGGGAGGAAGGAAATGACTGTGGCTGTCGTTAGGGACTTCCTACCACAGGTTCTATGTTTTCAGGACTTAGATTCCTCCTTTTTTTCTGCTCTTCATTCTCATCACTGGCTTCCCCTTGTGGTCCAAGAAAGGAGAAAATGAGAGAGAGAGAGAGTAACATCCTCCACGCCTTAGAGAGAGTATATTTCATCGGCCAGGTAGTCAGTCGTAGAGCCACGACTTGGTGGGGAATGCAAATGTTTAGCTGGGGACAATGTCCTGCTAGAAATCGAAGGTCTGGCTGAAACCAATTTGGCTCCGTGGATAGAGCGTCAGACTGCGGACTGAAAGGTCCCAGGTTCGATTCTGGTCAAGGGCATGTACCTTGGTTGCGGGCACATCCCCAGTAGGGGTTGTGTAAGAGGCAGCTGATCAATAATTCTCTCTCATCGATGTTTCTAACTCTCTATCCCTCCCTCTTCCTCTCTGTAAAAAAAATCAATAAAATATATTTTTTAAAAAGTAAAGAAAAAAAAATAAATTGGAGGCCTGTTCTCAGGAAGAAGGGGAGAATGAATGTTGGGAGGAACTGCCAGTTGTTCCATCTTCCCCAAAGCCAAAACCTGCTTGGGGTTTTTAGGAGGCAGAAGCCCCAGCCAGGCCAAGCCTAGAGACTTAGGGAGGTGGGCTCCCATAGTAAGCTTGCAAGATGTGTCCATCTGCACTGCGGTCCTCACGGCCTCTCTCTCTGTCCCAGTTCACCACAGGCACATGCAGCGACCCGGCAGTTCACAGCTGTGACCTGTGTGGCAAGAGCTTCCGCCTACAGCGTATGCTCAACCGGCACCTCAAGTGCCACAACCAGGTGAAGAGGCACCTGTGCACCTTCTGCGGCAAGGGCTTCAATGACACCTTTGACCTAAAGAGGCACGTCCGCACACATACAGGTGAGGAAGAGTCGTGTGCTTAATTTTAGTTTTGTTTTTCTGCCCAGGAGTTCCTCCTGCTTTCTTCCCACCAGAGAACCAGGTTGGCAGATGGGACAATGTTGTATTTCTGGAAAGACCACAGGATGGGGCATTCAGGACCAGCCCATCTGGGTTTACCTCCAGGCTGTGCCAACTTCCAGCTGTGTCATCTTGGGCCAGGCAAGCCTCCTCTCTTAGCCTGTTTTCGCCCCCTGTAAGATGGGGATAATGATACAAGTTTTAGCATAACTCAAGACAAATCAGTGGCTGGAGACGTTCTGAGAATTATGATCCCTGACACAATGCTGTGAGATATAGTTTGGTCCTTCAGTCCAGCCTGAATGCAGGATGTGGTTCCTGTGGTCCCTTTTTTATGCTCCTTTCCTGGGAAGTAAGCCTGTCTTCAAATAGCATCTTCAAGTTCCTCCCAAGAACTCAAAAAGAGAAGAAAATGCTCACTCACCTAGAGCTGACTGAGCCCCCTACCTAAGGCCGGCGCCTTCCTCCTCTTGGGCCTTCCTCAGTTTCCCTTCTCATGAAGTGGGAGCCTAGGTCCTCCCAGCTCATTACACAGAGAATCCTGAGGGTGCTCACAGGCCTCTCTCTACGCTCTTCTGATTGGTGACAGCCTCCTTTACTTTATGTTAGAAACATCTGGCCTCCAAGCTTCTCCTTTGGGTCCATGGTCCACACCATTGCCAGAGTGTTCCCTTGAGGAGAATTCTGAGGATGTTCCTTCCCTGCCAGAAATATCTCCAACTCTAGGCAGGAGGAAATCCAAAGTCCAGATCTTGAGGGGCTTCATGTAAAGCCCCTCAGAATCTGGGACCCATCTTCAAATCCCCATCCTATCTCAGCCCATCCCAATTCCATCCCATCCCAGCCTATTCAACCTCATCCTGGTTACTACCCACGCTCCCTACAGCCTCACAGAATCTACTGTATATGGTGTCCCTGATCCCTGAAGCCCTTTCAGAGTTTAGGGTGTCCCTGGCATTTTAGTGGGAATGGGAAAACGTCCACTCCTCCCTCCAGGTGGAGTTTCCAGTCCCTCAGCACCCCCTAGGACCTTCTCAGATCCTCTATTTCAGATTTCTTGTATGGCCCTTATGCTTCTGAGTTCTTAGAGTGCTGGCCACAAGCCTCCTCCCTGGGCTAGGGAGAGTGTCCTCCACCTTAGCGGGGGAGCTGATGAACTAAAAGGTTTTTGTTTCATTTTTTCCTTTTTAAGAACTTTTTCTGAAGGGATTTTTTTGTTTTGTTAGTGTAACATACATCCAAAAGAGTGCACAAATTATAAGGGCATAATTTAGCAAATTTAAGAATCTGTACAAAGTGAACAGACCCATTTACTAGGACCCAGACCAAGAGACAATATTTCCAGAACCTGGAAGTTCCTGCCCCCTCTTTCTTGCCCCCTTCAAATCATTACCTCTTAAACCTGGGGGCGGGGTGCAGGAGGAGGTCCAGGCTGCAGCTCCAGAGCACATGCTTGAGCATAATGGGAGCCCAATGCTCTTCTCCAGCTGCCCTTTCAATCACGATCAACAAACAACAACAACAATAAATAAATCACTATCTCCTTTCTCTCAAGAGGCACCGACATTGTGACTTCCAATAGCATAGATTGCTGTTGCCTGGTTTTAAACACGATAGAAATGGAATCCTATCGTGTCTGAGTGCAAGGCTTCTTTTTGCGTCCCTAGCACCAGTGAGCACCACACTCTGTGTGGCGAGGCTGGTACCTTAGGTTGAGGTGGAGAGAATGCTTAGGGAGTATCAGGGTGGAGGAGGGTCCCAAGGCTATCAGTGAACCCATCAAGTAACTGCAAATCTAGGCTCATAGACAACTGACCCAAGGGCCGGAGAAACGGGAGAGCTCAGGCAGTCGTTTGTCATTGGTTGTCCCGGAGAGTTTCTCAGCTTTTCATCTGTCTGAGATGTCCTTGAGAACATGGCCTATTTCTCCTCCTGATAGGCTCTGTGGTCACTTCCTCGATCCTGTCCTTTAAGACAAAGGGAGCATTGCTGGCTGTCCAGTACTTTCACTTGGAGTAAATAGCTGATGGAGCTGTTTACTCATCAGGGCCATCAAGGGAGAATTAACCAGGAAATATTAGGGACTGACTGCTTCTCAGGCAAGAGATTACAAATTGAGTCACTGGTGTAGTAGTTAAGAACTCATATCTGAGTTAGCTGACTATGCAAGCAGTTTATTTGGGAGGTGGTCCCAGGAGACACAGTGAAGAGAAAACAGCCAATAAAAGTGACTACATGAGCAGGTTACTCAACCCCATTGGGGTCCCCTGAAGAAATATATAGAATATACCCCAGAATTGCTCTCAATTCCCATCCCTCCTTGCTTGGGGGACCAGCCTCCTGGATTCTACAGGAAAGACTCACACAGGTAGGCAAAGGATATACAAGAATATTTTTAATGTTAATTTCATTTTGAAATGGTAGTATCTGAATATATTAGGTTAGACAAAAATATGTCAATCATTAAAATTAATTTGACTTTTTTAAAACTTATTTTAATGGGCTAGTAGACATTTTAAAATAACAAAGTGGCTTGCATTCTAATTTAGAAAATTGAAATCTACAGATTTTTTTAATTTATTTTAATCATAATTTTGACTCTTAAAGTGGTAAACAGATAAAATTGTGGGATTTTCAGATTTTTTTTTTTTTTTTTTTTTTTTTTTTTTTTTTTTTTTTTAGTTCATTGAACAACTTTCCTGTTTCCAAAAAATATCACCAGAATTCTGTGAATTCCATCTTGCCTTTGATTGAGACGTGAATGTTGGATTTTTGCTGTTGGCTATTAAGTGAATGTTGGATTTAGACCAGAAGCAAAGATATGAACACTGTTCACACAAATACAGCAGACAGTTGAGTGAAGGGTATGCTTGCTCATAGTGTGATTAGCCAGGCCACGACTGATGAAAAGACTTCTCGAGGATCCCAGGACCCTCTGAGATTGTGGTGACAATATTGATGAGGTGGGTGAAGACAGTGGGATAGAGACTCAGGATTAATCTCACCCCTCCTCACCTCCTCTTGTGCCCTGCACCTACTGAGAGGACAGGGCATTTTAGAAAAGACTCAAAACCCAAGGAAACATCTTGGAAAAGATCCAGGGAAACCAGAGCCTGAAAATATCTTACCTTAATATTTAAGCAGATGAAAGAAAAGATTAAGATTGTCTTTTTTGGATGTAACTTCTCCAAGAGGAGAGTAAACCAGAGGAGTGTGAGATGGAGAGCTGGGATGCTAGCCAAATGACATCTGATTCAAGATTGGGAGAGAGAGAAACTACAGCAGAAAAAACTCCATAACAGTTTGTGAAAATATTTCAGGAAACAAATAGCTATTTTCAATCCATATTGTCTTAGGTTGGGTTCCCTAGAAGCAGATCCTAGGATGGCAATTCGTATAAAATCATTTGTTGGGGGAGAGCGCCCAGAAGAAACCTGTAAGGGAGGAGGGAGAGGGACAGGGTAGCTGAGCAGGACTGTGCCCTCAGCTGGGTCCAGTCCACCCCTGATCCCATTGGGGTTCCGGAGTGTGGATGGCACCATGCTTTGTCCTGTCTACAGGCAAGCGGGGGACATTTCACTCCATGTCGGCCAGGTATTGGCTGAGGGCTGCCTTTTCCTGGGCAGTAAGGTCAATTACTCTGTGTCCGTTCCTTGGAGAAGGAGGCAGCCAGGCACTGTTAGCTCATCACACATGACAGCTGGAGGGGACGATGTGCTGGCTCTGAATGTGGGTCTGGACTGGGGACCAACAGCATCCAGTACACATGAGAGAGGGACTTGCTCCATTTGAGTTGACAGGATTGCTGAGCTATCATGGGAAATTATGGCTGTTGATCCACCTTAGGTCAAAATGGTGCGGGGGCAGGAGAGGCATGAGCTTTACAAAAACCAAAGTAAATTCAGTTAACAGCCAATGGAAAACATAGCGGGCCTGTTTACAGAGAATACATGTTTGGAATTGTTTAAGTTGAACCAGCTGGGATGCATTCTAAGAATGCATTGAGGGGATGGTTTGCTTTTTTTTTTTTTTTTTTTTTTTTTTTGGTGGCGGGGAGAATTTGAGTAGAAAATAACACTACCAACACTTGCTTGTGCCAGACTCGGCACTCTGTCTGCGGCACTCACAGTGTCCGTAGTCCGTGTCCCAGCAGTTCCAGCAGTCTGGGAGCATGTTAGAACCACAGAATCACTTTTATTGAGGGCCACGTGTCAGGCATGGTCTGGGCGTTGTTTACGGCTATGACCAGATGTGCCAGGCTCATCAGACAAGTACAGTTTTATAGAAAGTGCTTTATTTTCCTCCTTTGTAAAATGAATACTTATTCTGTAAAAAAAAAAACACACACACAAAAAAAACACGCACACACAAAAAAATCCCCAAAACTTTAGCCAATACAAAAGCTGTAGAGAAGAAAGTGTAAGCCACTGTACACAGTTGAAAAGGGCGCACACGATCCCAGCTTAGTCTCTGGGGAGCAGGGTGCCAGGGAAATCACCCATGTTGGTTATAATTTAAACTCTGTCATAGAGGAGTTCAAGGTGCCTGCCATTCCTGGGGAAGCTTTTGAGTTCCACCGAGAGGAGTGAAGGAATTCAGATTTGAGGTCAGGGAAGCAGGGAGGGGGCACTGACCAAAGGGAAGTGTTTGTGCTGCCTCCTGGGATACCTTCCACCTTATCTTCCATCGGCCACATTGAGAGGGACAGAAGGCAAACAAATCCCATTTTGATTGAAGAAGAGGAAACAATGGTGTCTTTCTTTGGAGCCTAAAGGGAAGGATTGACTGGATTGGGGAAAATGCAGATTGGGAGAAATTTGGAGTGGGGCAGATGGAGGAAAGAGAATAAAATATCCTACACCTCTAGCGAGTTGAATGGTCTTGTGAGATTGTCTCCTGCGCTCGTTAAACTGTCCTTTATTGTATTTGGACTTTTTGGC